CACCGCCGTGGTGAGCTTTCTGGGAGGCTTGGGCAGAACATGAAGATGCCCCAAAGCTCAAAATCCCTAAACCCTAAACCCTAAACCCTTTTCCCTAAACCCTAAACCCTAAACCCCTAAACCCTAAATCCAGGAACTCCTTGAGGCACTGCCCTGAGTATTCAGGCTTCTGTCTTGCTCTTTGATGTCATGGCGGTTTAGGGTTCAGGGTTTTTTGGGGTTTGGGGTTTAGTGTTTGGGGTTCTTTGGGTTTGGGTTTTTGGGTTCAGGGTTTTGGGGTTCACTTAGATAGCCAATGGGAGAACTTTAAACCTTTTTGGCTTTTTATATTCGGTCTATCCTAAAAAGTTTGAGCTTTTTTGGGCCTGGTTGTTGAAGAAGAGAGAAGAACGACCTTGGGGTGTATCGAAACATCGCCGGCCAAGAACATGTAGAGGTTGCTTTTATAGATCAAAGGTAGCAGCTGGCTCTTCTTTTGTGACCGAGACAACAGCTCAGCAATAGCTAGCCAGTGCGAAAATGCCTGAGTTATTGTCAGTGCAGCAGGCTTACCTTTTACGTTAGCTGCGCTTAAGACTCCAAGATGTTTTGTTGACACCAGCCAGGCTTACCCAGACTTCAAAGTGCAGTTCCTGGTCCTTTTGTTTGATTGCCAAACCAGCACGATTGACAAAAAGTGGTACTGTAGACGTGAAGGTGGGCCCCGAAACCCTGAACCCTAAACCCCTAAACCCTAAACCCTAAACCCTAAACCCCAAACCCCTAAACCCTAAACCCTCTACCAGAGAACCCACGACCCCGAATCTCCCAGTCTATCATCTAGCGAGCTGATCCCTCCAAAAGCGTCCTGCAAACAACCCCCTTAACACCCGATCCGCCGTGCTTTGCAGGTAAAGGCAGCTCGACCCTCTCCATGGCAAGAGCCTGAGATGGTGACCTATCTTAGGAACCCCAAAAGGACATAAGCATTAGCATTTTATAGGGATATCCCTACCTTATTGGGCTTCATTATACGAGGATTTATATGGGATATCCCTTTTTCCTAATTTTTGCTTCTGTGCTTTTTGGGGGCCCTACTATCGGGGCTTTCAGGATAGGATTCGGGCTTGTGGTTGCATTTACCAGCTAGTAGAGGTGAGCAGAAGGCAACCAGTTTATCAATAACCGGTACGGTTTAGGGTTTAGGGTTTAGGGTTTAGGGTTTCGGTCTATAACCCAGTCATTAAAGACTAAAGCAACCGCCACCTTCCGTTTCCGCCTCGAATAGACGATGAAAGCAGACCCTAACGAAACTTCGCTTCACACCCATTTCGTGCTCGGATTGCTTCACTTCAATGGCAAGGCACGCTCCCGAAGCCCGGCAAGTTCACCAGCGGAAAAAATGTACCAAGAGTGCTTGTTGCCCAGAGACTCCACTATCCCTTAATTAAGGAAAATACCTTAAATTATAGTAGGGATCCCTAATATGATGTAAGATATATTCCCTAATTCAGGGATGTTGGAGTCTCTGGG